CCTAACTACAGGCCCCTCCAGTCTCGGCACTTGGCACGAGCTAAGAGCAACTGGGCAGTGGGCTGGAGAGCCTTTTGGTGTCAGCTAATCTAAATCTCTGTTCAATAGCTGTAGAAACAGAGAGGGAAGGTGGCTTGTTTAGAGCTGCACAGCAAATTGGCCACAGGACCAGGACGAGAGCCTAGAGGGGACATGATTGACCACCCTTGGCCACCCTCTGGGGCTCAGCCAGAGCTGAGGGATCTGCTTCTGTGCCCCCTTGCTGTCCTTCAAAGGCTTGGGGATGGTGCCATGACCCCACTTGGTCCATTCAGGATCCATAAAGTAGATGTGTTGGTCTCTTCTTGGCTCAAAGAGCAGCTCTGCTGTGTATGTGATTGGGTAAAAAGCCACATGCAGTCGAGTGATGGGCTCCTACACAAAGGTGTGTCTGCACTGTGCATGTGTGAGTGCACGCAGATACGTGTGGGTGTGTGCATGTCCAGTATAACGCATGACCAGACACCGAGCAGGCTGTTGAGCCATGCTGGGCCCATGCCAGGTGGAGAAGCGCTCTGGTGTAGTTAGAACGCTGGCATGTGGTGAGGCATGATGGGCAAGGAGGACGTAAAGGCTGGCCGAGGCTGGCCGGCAGAGGGCCCGTGTGCCTGGCGGAGGGGTTGACTTGGCGTTGAGAGGAGTGGCGAGCCTTGTGAGGACCCATCAGGGAATAGTGCTGTGAGGCTCTTTCAGGGCTTGGATGCTGAGGGCCTCCTTCCTTACTGCTGGGGGTGGGGGCTGGGAGGATGCAAGGAGATGGGGGGTTACGGGTGAGGTCGAGGCACCATGGGGCTCCAAGAACCCCCTCCGCCTGCTCTCTGCCACCTCAGCCCCACAGCCTCAGCCAGCCTGGGTGATCTTTAACATGCCTACTTTGGAACCAGGGCTGGAAACTCAGTCTCTACTGCCCTGGGAGAGACCGAGGCCTTGAGGATTTGGTGGGCAGGGACTGCAGCCGTGGGCCCTTCGGTGGACGTGGGGTCCCACCCTCCGTGACTCACTGGGGTAGCAGTTAAGCAGCCTGGAGGGAGCTCTGGATTGGGAGTCAGCCTCTGTCCCAGCCTCGCCTCCTTCCTCCTTCCTCTCTCCGGAACTCAGTTTTCTCTCTCTTATAGGGACCATATCCTTGCCCTGCTCACCTCTGGGTGGACCCAGCAGCAGGCAGGTCTTCGTGGGGAAGCTCTGTTCCGATAGAGGTGCAGAGCAGATGGGAAGGGTGAGAGGGCTTGGCTCCATCTGAGGAGAACTTCAGGGAGCTCTGCTCAGGGCGGCCCCTTCTTCCAGGACAGGGATGGGTTTGAGCCAGCAACCCTCGGTACTCACTGACAGGCTGATGAGCAGCCTGCTGCTCTCTGGCACCGGGCAGGCACTAGCGACTGGTTTCTGAGTCTTTAGTAGCCAATAGGGTGCACGGTGCCCTGGGAGACCACAGAGCTAGAGAAGGCTGACCCAGCCTGGAAGGGAGCCCCTTCCTGTCTCAAAAATGGGCAGAGCAGCCCTCCTGTCTCTGGGTCTAGGTCCCGTCTGTGGGCCATGATGAGGCTCAGACAGGAGTAGGGGGGACTGGCTTGACCCCAGGTTGGGAATTCCTAGCTGGGCCCAAGGATCTGAGCTGTGCTAGGGGACCAGAGAGGTTGTACAGGAGAGGCATGGGGGGACATTGACATGCCCTGGGTAGTGGGGAAGCCAGTGACCCAGGCAGGCTGCTGTGTGGGAGAGAGGACCGTGGGGCTGCAATGAGCCTTGCCCAGCATGGGATGCAGAGTGCTTATGGGTCTGACCCCACCTGGGTAACCTCTGGAGCCAGTTCTGAGACTGATTCCCCACTTCCCCCGGCCCAGCTGGCCAGTAGTGGCTAGGGGTGGGGTAGGCAAGAGACGGACACTGGCCCTGCACCAGCGCATGCCCTCAGCTCTGAGTCTACCTCTCTCTGTGTTTCTCCACCAGGGTGGGAGGTGGCGGTGTGGATGTGCAGCTGCTCCCTGCTCCGATGAGGTGCTGGCCAAGGGAAGAGGGCAAGAGAGAGCTGGCCTCTGAGAACGTGTGTCCTGTCTGCCCTGTCCTAGAGGAGCCACTGCCCTTAGCAGCTGTCTCATGGGACCATTGCCCACTACAGTCTGGTCTGCTGCTGGCTCCAGGGAACTATAGGACCGGTCCTGCCCCAGGACGGGGGCCAGCCCCCCAAGATTACATGCCATTAGGAAGATCCTCCCCTGCCCCTTCTCTGGCACCCAGTGGAGCTGCCCTTTTGGCCTCTGAGGGGAGGTGTGAGTGAGCAGCCCACCTCAGTCCCAAACCATCCAGCCCTGCCTCCCAGTCCTCAGCCCCTGCTGAGAAGGGGGCGGGGCCCCGGTCTGGCTTCTGCCCCTCAGTCCACACCCACCACCTGCCCAGCTGCAGGTTCTCAGGACCTCCAAGTGGCCCTAGGTTGTCCAGTAATCACACACATGGACCAAGGCTGTCTCCACCTGGCCCCTTCACCCCTCTCCCCAGACCCCTGTTCCTCCTTGTCCAGCCCAATTCCCCCAGCAAGTTAGAATACCTGGGCTCTGAAACTGTAGGTCTGGGTAGAGCTGTCTGAAGGCCCTGTCTCAGGGGAGCTGGTCAGAGACCCTAGTGAAGGGCCACGTGCCCGTCACCCTATGTGGCCCTTTGGCTCTGGGGATGGCTCAGGGTGACAATGTGCAAGCCTGTGGCCCCAGAAAGATCTCTCCCCTGCCCACACTCCTCACCTAGGCAGTGGGAGCAGCCTTCGCACGTTCTGACTAGCAACCAACCCCCCCTCGCCGGGGACAGGCACTTGTGGAGGTCATAGCCCCGTGGACAGTGCTGCCGCCGCTGCCGCCCAACCCTTCAGCCTCAGCCCAACCAGAGGCAGGGCTGAGTCCAGGGCTCTGGGCAGACGCAAACCTGCAGGGGTGGGCATTCCGGGCAGTCCAGCCCCTGCCTACCTTGTCTTGTCCCCTTGAGGGTGTCCCCTAGCCCAGGGCTACCCACAGAAACCAGGTACCAGGGCAGGGACAGAGCCTGCCAGCTCCCAGCCAGCCTATACCTCACAGCCGGCCAGCTGCCTCTCCACCCTCGCTCCTGCTGACCCCAACACCTGACTGGCACCCCGCCTGCCGCTCCCACTGCCCTGGGCGGAGAAGCGCCCAGGACTGCCCGCTCTCCCCGCCTGCCCGCCCCCGGCGCGGCTGCCCGTGCCTGTGTCCCCGGATCCCCTGCTCACCTCGGTGGCGCTGTCTCCTCACCAGAGGCACTGCAGTGTGGGAACTGTCCCGAGGAGCCGGTTCTCAGCTGAAACAAAGAGGTGGGGGAGAAAGAGGGGGGCAGTGGGAGAGGGAGAGGGTGAGTGAGCGAAGGAGTGGAGGCTGGTGGGGAAGAGAGGGAGAGGATGAGAGAGAAGGAGAGGGGAGGGAGGACCACGCCGCCCTCCCACCAGCTCCAGAGAGAAAGCCTGACACCGGACTGGAGGACCACAAAAGGGGGAGAGGAAGTAGGGAGGGGTGGAGAAGGTGAGGGGGGCCGAGAAGGGAGAAGCTGTTAGGGGGCGGGAGGGCAGGGAAGGGGTGAAGAGGCACCAGCAAGTTAGGGGGCGTGGACAGGAGGGAGCGTTTGGGAGGTCGAGCTGCAGGGGGCTGCTGCTCTGGGCTGAGCAGGGCAGAGGGGTCCCACCCCTGTCCCATGCAAGGCTCTGTTCTCAGGAAGCTAAGTGGACTTGAGTGGGCAAAAGTCCACACACGAGGGAGGCTGGCAGGGAGAGGGGCGCAGTGAGGAGAGGTGAGGCGCTGGGCTGGCTGGGAGGACTGGGCCAGTGACAAAGGCATCAGTGAGAACAAAGGTGTCGGAACAGGGGAACTGGGCCACTGCTGACACCGGGCATCCCAGCCCTGAGCACCCCGATGGAGCCTTCTGAGTGGAGGACAGGTCTACGCTGGGGCGGCCAGGGCTCTGAAGAGGAGGCAGCCTGGGGCTCAGGGAAAAGATACGGGCTGTGAGGGTGGGCAAGGGTGCCCCTCGTTCTTGGAGAACTGAGAATACCCAGGACCGCACACTCTGATGGAACATGCATCAGGAGGTGGGATGGGTGACTGGAACAGGGGTGAAGCCGTGACTGAGAAGTGGGCAGGGGAGGCCTCCGTCGTAGGAGAGAGCATGGCGGGCCCCAAGGAAGGGGGAGTGGAGAGAGAGGAAGGGGGCATGGAGGAAGAGACTGAGGGGAGCCCAGAGCTGCAACTCCTTCACAGGCCCACAGCAAGCAGGGCCTCCCCACACCCCACACCGCACGTCCCCCCACCTTGGGCCGCCTAATGCAGACGTGATGAAGGACAGGAGAGCCAAGCGTACCCCTGCTGCTGGCCTCCTGCCGCCCAGCACTGCTGTGACAGACAAGGGCACTGCCAGCATAAGCCAGCTTGGGCAGCCTGGGATTGTACCAGGGCCCTGGCCAGGGCCGCCCCATCCCTCTCAGTCCAGAACCCTCTCACATGCAGACACACAGAAGTTCCAGCTGCTTGCCTGCACCTTCTGAGCAAGGGAAGTTCCTTTCCTTGTCCCACCTGAGACTCCTCTTGGAAAGCAGGAGGAGGGGCAGAGCTTGGGTTTGCCTAGCTCCCAGCCCCATCCTGCACAGAGCACAAGAGCTGTAGATGCCCCTCAGACTCCACCTAACTCAACTCCAATCACCTCCTCTGGGAAGCCCTCCTGGCCCACCCAGCAGGGCTGCATAAACCCACCTGCCTCCTCTGAAACCTGGAGACAAAAAAGGAAAGGACTTCCTTTCTTCCTCTTTCCTTCCTTCCTTTTCTTTTTCTTTAGAAATAATTTCAAACTTAAAGAAGTCGCCAGGGTAAGAGTCGTACAAAAGACACCCACGTGTCTTACAGAGTATACCTGCACCTCCTGCCAATACCCAGCCATTCGTGTTTTGCTACCTCTTGTTGGTATTTATCCCTCTGTATTTACTGTGTGTGGACATAGGTGATTTTCTCTCGGAGCTATTCGAGCGAGTTGTAGGTCTTTAAAAGGATACGATTGCCTTTCCGTCTTCAGAGCCAGCCCTAGGGAGCCCAGACCATGGGTGAGGAATGGATGAAGGCCTGGGACAGGCAACGAGTGGCCGTCACCACCTGGGAGCCTGCGACTTGGAGTCTGGCCGAGCCCACCTGGGGGTTGGAGTGGTCCAGGGCGGCGTGTGTGTGTGTGTGTGTGTGTGTGTGTGTGCGCGCGTGCGTGCGCGCTAGGCCTGTGGCCAGGGGAAGTGAGCAAGCGGGAGGGGAGCCGTTGCCCACCACAGTGAGCATGTGGTGTTTGCTGCGTGTGGAGCTGCAGCATATGTCTGCGGAGATGCAGGCAGGCGGGTGCCGCTGGGAGGCAGGGATGGCTGGGACAGCCACGCTGCCACCGCACCTGGGCTCGCTCTGGGCCTGAGCATGAGGGAAGTCCCAGCTCCTGGAGGCTCCAGTCCCACCGAGACCCCTCCCCCCACTACAGCCCCATGAGGGACAGGGCAGGGATGCGAT